GCCAAGCTCACTACCATGTACACAGACCAGTACCCCACATGTGCGACAGGGGCCCCAGGCAAAGGGTGCCATCTCGCGGCTCTGCCTCGCTTGACTGCTTAGCGTCCGGTATCCCCAGTCCTTGCCTTCCCTGTCACCGAACCCCGCCCCCCTCCTTCGCTTCCCTCCCCCCGGCTCGTGGGGCCTTCCTCTGCAAAGAGACCGACACCACCGTCGGCGTCTTCGTCGTCGTCATCAGCATCCTCCTCTGGTCACTGGCGGGGGAGAAAATAATACGTATAGTCACTTCATGGACCCGGTGAAATGCAGCTGCAAAAGCTATACCAGTGTGATCATCACGACGGAGATCCCATTTTTGTGTGTGTAAGTATATGCACATCGTTTCTATTCTCTCGCCAACGCACTCTGAGTGCTGGTGCCGTTGCGTCTCCTTTCTCTGTTGGACCCGCCTACCCGTCAAGGGACCAGACCTGTCCCCCAGGGGTATTTCACCTTTCCTGTTCCATGAGCGCCTCGCTATACATGCAAAAGACAAAAACACACGAGACTTCCATCGCTTGAAGCCCCCAAAACAAACCCCGAAAAAAACCGAAAGGACAAAAAATAATAGTACACATCATATACATCTACTCATCATCGTCGTCCTTGGCTGCCTCGTCGCTGGCCTCTCCCTCGCCGTCTTCGTCCTCGTCATCGCTCTCGGGCGGCTGCCATGACTCTTCCAACTTGAGACCCTTGCCTGTGCCTTCTTGACCGCGATACGAGGCGCCGAGCAGGGACGACATGGCCGACCGTGAGTGACTGAGTTGAGGATCGTCCTCGTACTTGTCTGGCGCATCGTAGAGGCCCATGCCCACCAGGATCTCGCCCTCCTCTTCCGCCTCGTTCAGCGGCTCGTAGGGAATGGCGTCCTCCGATGACACAACAGGCTGCTGCTGCTGTGCTTGGGGGAGATTCTCAGGCGTCGGGGGCGAGGTGCTGTTGAACCCGTGCGCGGCGAACGAGTTCCACTGCGACGTCGTCGTGTTCGAGCTGCCGTAGTCGCACGTCGGCAGCACAGGGAACGGCTCGACAAAGGTGCTCGGCACATGGGCCGATACATAACTTGGCGTCGGTTGAGGTGCTACACCCCAGCCTTCCACGGGCAGACAAGGGGCCGCGTCGAAGCTGTTGTACGGCAGAGCGAGGGGCGAAAATGCAGAATTGGGAGATGTGCTGCACGAGTAGGCGGGAACTGGCGAGTAGTGAGGCTGCATGCCAGATGCAAACTCGTAGTCGTTGTAGGTAGGGAACGGGTACTGAGCGAAATGCTGTTGTGCCGGCGCCGACATCTGGCCGTGATAGTAGGATGAGGGGTGCCAGCTAAGGGGGCGGCTGGGTCGAGTTTGAGAACTTGGCATCTCCTGCGTGAGGGGCCAAACATTCTGGTCCACAACCTGTTGCCTTCGCCTTGCTGCCAGAGAACCGTCGCCCATCAGTGTCCTCCTCCTGGCCGCCATGGTCGATCTCGGGCTGCTGTTGGCACTGGTAGGCTTGACAACCCGCATGGCGGTGCTCATGGCACTTCCCGCTCGTTGCTGACAGTTCGAGCCCCTGGAAAGCCGTCGAGAGGCTTGTGAGATGGCCATATGTCGAGATAGATCGTCCATAAAGACGTCTGAAGGGTGCTGCTGGTACATGGCCGTGGACTGGCCGGCTTGGGCGACGCCCAAGTATGAGGACATCATCATGAAAGGGTCGATTATGGTATGAAGGGAGTTGGGCGTTGATGTTGCAATGGTTGCGTTGCTGGCTAGGTGTGCCTTCTAAGTGATGAAGAGTGATCGAGGATGGAGGATATGGGTTGGGTCGTTGTTATACGTCGATTCGGAAGTTGGGTGTACTAGTATGTGGGTGGGATATTGTACCACGAGTTGCTCCAGTTGCTTGGTGCCAAGGGAGCGGAT